CATCAATTAACAGACACATATCAAGAGAGTATTAAATAAAAATTTCATATAAATGGTCTGACATCCATGGGCTGCAACTGAAGACAGGCAAATGATCTTCAGCCTACACGTTTACAACTAAATATAAATAATAAAATTATCATATACATTCAGAGCCCTAAGATTCTTTGCTTCTTTAATCATATGCCGATTCCATTGCCAGTAAACATGTTCAACATAAGTTAATAGTATGTTGCAAAAGAAAATTAGACATCAAGTCCAAGAGGCAATATAGCAAAAATTAAAAAATTAGGCACATTACCTGGGAGGAATGTAAGAATTCCAGGACTAAAAGGCCATAAGCTTGGGCCTTCTTCCCCCCATGTGACCAGTGAAAATAAACACAGGAGAAAAAGAAGCAGTGATCCTCGACAAAGCAAGAATAATGCGAGTGCAATTGACTTCCATGGGATCCTATCAAAGGCTTTGGCGAATAATCAAAACTAGGATCATAACGCTGCCTCCTATCACCATCATAAAAATCATCATAATCATCGGTAGCAAGTTTTTCATAACAAACATTGCGCTTAGATGCCATATCAACTAAACCCAACTCTTAATAATTATCCCAGGGAATCACACACAAATACCTGAAGCCTTCAATCCAAAATCAAACAAACAAACAAATTTCTTCAGAACTCAAATCAAATTCGAAAATTCACAAAAGCAAAATACAAACAAACATAATAAGTCAAATAAAAATATAAAACATAATAAAGCAACCAACAAGAAAGACCTAAGAAGAAGAAGGGAACCCAATTATTCTCCTATTGTTTCTGAAATCTACACACAGGGTATCTTGTTACTGACTGACTTCAATCAATGGGATACAATCTCTTAAGACTAGTTAAAAATGATCAGATCTTTTTCTTTTCAGCTTTATATGTTTATACAAAGGGACTAGCATCACGGAAAATAGGATCCCTTTTTACTTATTGATTGAACATCCCACAGAAGAAATCAAGAGTGAGAGTAGATAAGAGTTAGTGAGCAATGGAAGATATCAATTCGAATATCTATATTGGAAATCTATGTCTGTCTATCTGCCTTTGCTCTCAAGAAGAGAGAGCGGCCACAATGTAAGATACCAGAATTTGGGGAGAAAAGAGTTCATCTCAGGCGTAATTGGTGTCAAAGTGTAAATCTATACGGTATGGTATAGAACGAGTTAAGATCATAGAGATTAGTCATTCTTCAAATAAATTATTCGCTTATATTACAATAATTCAGTTGCTTGGCATCCATTTCAAAGTATTTCAAATAAAAGCATTTTCCATATTCTCACCCTCTATTTTAAAGTAATCTACAATGAGAATATTCAAATATATTTATCAGTTTGAGTTTCCACTAAACAAAGAAATTTTTTGCTATGAACAATCAATATGCAATTAAAAAACAAAATTAAACATAAAATATAAGATTTATGCCAATAGGAGTTGCTGGCACAGTGGCATCTAGCTTATAAGTAAGTAAAATTTATATTTTACAGAAAACTGCTTTTCTACAGTTGTCAAACACGCCATAAGCCAAGATTTGATGAAACTATAAATGAAGAACATAATAGCAATAGCACGAAAGAGAACAGATTAAAGATAAAATATGGATGAGAAAAGTATAATGAAAGATAATCGAAGCATGGCCAGACTCACCGGAACGTCGTGGTCGGTGAGAGGTGTGGCTTTGGCTTGCGCGGACGAGAGGAGAGACAGCCGAAGTTTGAAGTAAGAATTTTATGAGTCAAAGACGGGCTATTTGTAGGATGATTTTGAAAAAAACCATATTTTGAATGATCTAATGCCTTCCTTATAAAGAATAAAATGACCTAACCGTTGGCTTCAACAAACGATTCCGTGGGTTATTGGGTAAGTACTGTTAACTGCGTGTTTTAAATAATATAAATAATTTTTCACTTAGTAATATTCATAAATCTCTTATATATATTAAATTAAATCGCAATGGACAATATTGTTGTGGTAAAGGTGGTAATGCTAAAATGAATTATTACGCAAGGCATAAAGGGGGAGGTTATAAGCACTGTTTTAAAACTCGACTAGTTTGACTCTTTAAACCAAGACTCGGGGCCTTCTCCCAGCAAGTCACCCTTGTTCACTATTTTAAAATCCCAATATTCATGAAGAAGCAAACCCTAGAGAAGACAACAATAATTCGTGAGTAGACGATAGCGAGGCTGTTGGGAGGTTTTACAAAGAAAATGTTAGTGAGTTGAAAGGTGGTGATGAAGGTGATTTCTGGTGAGTGAAACATCGAAAAAGGCAAAAGAGTAGCCATAACAGTGGGTTGTTGCCAGCGATTGGTCGGGCAAATAGGGGGGGAGGGGTTGATATGGGTTTTGGTCAGGAGATTGAGGAAGAGTATTTTAGTTGTGATGAGAGCGGTTGTCGATGTCAAAAACAGGCCTATTTGGCCTGGGTTGGCGATGATGATGGTGGTGTTTTTTTGCAAAAAATTGTTCAATTTCAGCCAATTGTTAGGCATATTTGCTAGAGAATAGTTCTAATGATGAGTGAGATTTGTAATTAGTGTATTGTCGCTACCAACCAGTTGATCGTCGATTTGCATTTGGCTAGATCATAGGGGTGTGTTTGTAAGATTTCAAACCTCGAGATATGCTGATATCACCGGTCCGACTCGAGACCCAGCCACTTTGTCGAGTTTCATCTCGAGTTGGTTATTAAAACATTGGTTATAAGTGTCTATATCCTAAAATTAATTTTTGACAAAATAAAAAAATATTGATGAAGAATCATAACCACATAAATACAATCCTAATTGAAATACATTCATTTGTTTTATATACGATAAGAAGAGATATATTTAATAATCCAACGTTATATTTATATTGTGATTGACTTTCAACAAGATATATTAACATGACATATTTCTCTAATTTAAATTAGGAATTATCGTATTAATCAAACATAAATATAAATATGATATTTTTATAAGTTCTATTTTCAAAGCAACGAATATAATTATAAAAAAAAAAAAAAAAAAAAAGATAAACCATTTTATCAATTTCCAATATTTATTTAGTTTTAATGGTAGAGTTAACCTGGGCCAGTTTTTTAAAATTTGTGGTTGTACTTGACTGTGAAGGTGACGGGCATTAATATGGGCCGTCGATTTTTCTCTTCAAAGGCGTGTCTCAGCCGTCGATGAAGTTGACTGACTTGGAAACTGTCAAAGTTGACGTCCTTTAAGAGGGGGTGGGTCATTTTGGCTGATTCTACGAAACTGAAATTCTGTGATCATCTTCATGGCCTTCTTTGAGGTTACTGTCAAATGTTTCTCTTGTTGGCTATTATTGATCACAGGGAGTTTGGCTTTTCAACGGCTATGGTTGTTTGTCTGCTAGAAAAATCAACGGTGGCGGAGGGTTTGCCGGTTTGGTTTGTATAAAGCAAATGTTGTTTTGTAGAAAATTCTATAAATGACATGTCAGTTATTGGTTAGAAAAGAAAACGACTTGTCAATGGATAGACGAATAACGGAATGACATGTTTCCGTTTCGGACAAATTTGGTACTGTGCGTCACGTTTGTAAAATCATTTCTCATTCCAAGTCATATCGCATTCAAAATTTCGTATTAACGAGAGACCCTTAAGGTTTCCAAATTTATCATTTGGATGACAATTTTTGCACTTCTCTACCCTCAAAGTTTGAAACTAGATCATATATACCCCTTTGCCTTAACTCCTTTATATTGTCGTTTATCATAGATGGGAAATGATAACTTTGGTCTTATAAGAAAGTGTTAACGTAAAGGGATACATGTGATAAAAAATTTAACAGTGTGAAAATTATTGTTTGACTGATAAATATGAAAACCTTAAAGGTGCGATTGGTTCAAAGAATATTGGATTATTAGAAATGTTAGATTACTAGAATCTCATATTACCTTAAAGATTACTGGGAATCTTTAAAAAAATGTAGTTAGCTAGTTGGTGGGTATATTATATTAATATGTTTGGTTAAGGGGAATAAATTGGTGGGTATGTTATTTAAATTACTAAATTACCCTCTTTTTAAATATTAATATAATATTAATTTTTGAATAATTTTTTAACTCCAAATATTTCAAATTTAGCTAAAACACCCCCGCTTATATAAAACTCTAATTTATGACAAAATCACCTCCACCCCTACCGCATACAAACCACCGTCGAAAGTTACCAAAGGTCATTGTGAGTAACTCACCATGACCGCGCGGCTCCAATATGGCTGTTTTCAGCCATCAATATGATTAGAAATGGCCATATCAAAGCTCTCGAAGCCTCCCAGGCGACTCTCAGTCATTTTTAGTTTTGAATGGATATGTTTTCTCATGACTTTTGGATATTAATTTCTAAAATGCTTGAGATTGATCAATTTGTTAATACCACAAAAAAAAACCCTTGCTGTCTAGTTTTAAACGTCAATCCTTAATATTCGAAAGAGAAATTGAAAGACGGCTGTCTAGCTTTGCGGTGGTCCTGTGACACAACCTTGCTGGAAATAATAATACTTTATTATCCAATTTGTGATGCTGAAACTTAGATGAATACTAACGAATATACATTATATAGTAAAAGAGATATGGATTTAGTTCATTTCTTTTTATCACCTTCGATTCAACTTTAAATAGTCAATGTTTTCATAGAAGTTTTGGAATATTTGCTCCGTTTAATTTGTGAATTGATTTTCACCTTTTTAAATATGTTTTCGGAACGCTCATATTTCTAGCTTAAGAAATAAGCGATAGGAACTCCATTTTCCTGTGATCTCACAAACTTAAAATTTATTAGAAAAATAAACCATTGTTTAGAATTAAAATGAGAGAATTTGCAAGAGAAAACACAATACAAATAATCCATCCTCCCAACATTCATTCTATATATAAACTTCCGTATGCTTCATACTTCCCTAAAACAAAAAAATCGAACATCAACCAGAGAATAATATGATGATGAAAGAAGCATAATTCTTTAATCGAATTCATTTAAGTTAAGCGTTAGGGTTCATAGCATAACACCGAGACTCGACTGGGACTAGCAATACCAGTGAGTCAGTGACTAAGCCAGAGCAGTGCCTAGTTTCACTGTTAATGACTAGCTTCAAACAACAATCCCCCATATAAAACTGCAGGGGAAAGTTAACAAAGATCCCAACCGAAAACTAGTTATGTACATCTTATGTTTTTATTCACATGCATCAATAGATTCACGTATAATACCCTAACGTTCTTGATTTAAAGGACCCGAAGTTGTGCAAGAAAGGCCGCACAAAGATCCAGGAAGAGCAACTGCGGACCTTGAACCCTCTGAAGATCAAGCATGTATTTCTCCTCGCGAGTTTTGTAAAGCTGTCAAGCCCATTGGTAGGAAAGGCATTATCAGCAGAAAACATTTAGAGACATTTTCCATATCAGATCTATTTTTGTCTTCAAATAGCAAAATGGTTGACACTTAAATTATCACTGCAAAAGGAGGCCCAACTAGGTCTTTCACTTGCTTGGGGAGTGATCGATGTTGACACTCCTATCTCAGTATTAAAAAAGTTTGTACACCACCATTATATTGAATAATAAAATTGAGCATATTTGAGTTACCTGCACTTCGACCTTGATTACATTTGGTGACTTGATAACGTCGTTCTCAATAATGGTAGATTCCTCCCCAAAGTAGTGATTATTGTGTACATGATTATTAATCATGCCTTCATGATGACCAGGGACGCCAGGAATCCACCTGCACTTCATGTTGTAGTGCCCGATCTTCTTCCAGCATACATGCAGTTCTTGAAAAGCTTTGAGCACTTCCGTCATTATTTCACGTGGCTGGGCATGGGACTGTCAAAATAAAGGCAACAAAATAAACATTTAAAGTCAATAACATGTCAATTTGTAAAGGTCTACTCAGCCTTCTAAATAGTTCACAACCACAACCACCTGCAGTCCAAGAGACCATTTTCTTTCAAATGGCATCTGTGCTCTTAATCCCATTCCTTGATAATCCATGAATGCTGGAAGGCGATTCCCAACAGATGAAGCAACTTCACCTGGATGCATATGGTTGAAACCAGAATCCTGGAAAAATTATATGAAAAAAAGAAAAAGTAACCAAAGAGGTTGTAAAATTCAGAACCTAGATGAAATATGTATAGATTCCACAGAATATAACTACTAACTAACCAGATTACGAAATAATTCTACATAAAACGACAATAGTAAATAACGTGGGTCCAGGACAAAAATATCATCTCTTTCACATGCAAAAAATTGATTATAGTGCTCCAGCAAATTTAAATAGGAATCTTTTACAACAGGACAAGCTCCACAAGGGAAGAGACAAAATTAGGTAGTTTAGCATCATGCCTTCTCAGAACCCTGGTAGACTACAAACGACTATAAATTTCTGTTATAAGCAACTATGATAAAAAAATACTACAAACGACTATAAATTTCTGTTATAAGCAACTATGATAAAAAAATTTAATATTGAAAATGTAAAGAAGTAGAAATGGCATTCATTAGATCAAAAAATAATTGGCATGCAAAATGATAACCAACACAAAGTAGACTTGGGGAAAACTACCGCACCATAGTTTCTTGAAACTCAGCTCCAAGATAACCACTGGAAACACGGAACCGGTTGTCCAGCAACAGATAGTACGCAACAGTAGCCTGAAATATGCAGCAACTAATTAGACACAATTAAAAAACCTAACGCAAGAGAATTGGAAAGTTACCAACCTCATTTTGTATTCTGTTGCGAAGAGACTCAACCACTTGAGTTTGATCAAATCCCATCTTAACCACTTCCTTAAGAATCTCCTCATCAATCTGCTAGAACCACAATTATATTTCAATTAACCATCACAATAAATATAATAGTACAATTACCAATAAATACAATTTAAGCATTCAAGAAGTATTGTTCCAGATAGATACGTTCCTTCCTATTTAATTTAATTAAAAATTACACCAATACCATAATTATAAAGCTGACCACAAGGAAAATTTGCTTAATAATGAAAGCACTATACTCATTTTATATTTACGACCGAAATTGATAAATGCACTGAAAAAGTCAACCAACCTTTTTGGCTTGTTGCATTGTGTCAGGTGGGGGAACAGCTAAATAACGTGGAAGATGGGCTTGAAACCATGGATGTTGACGAATATCTGGAATGGAAATTCGCTTCATTGGATCAACTATAAGCATCCTTGGGATCAAATCTCTTGCACCCGGAGACAAATGACTAGGAAGTGTGTATATCCCACCCTATGGTTCCATGAAACCATCAGTGAGGTCAAAAATATAAATGAAGGATTGGCAATCCACGCCCGTATCAACTGTTGCAGATTTAGCTGACTTCAAAAATAACAAACTTGATTGCATAAATTCAGTAATACCTTTATTTTCTTAAAAAGATTGGGAATATTTTCATCATCAAAAGGAAGGGTCCCACAGAGAAGAGCGTACAATATAACACCGCAGCTCCACACATCTACTTCAGGCCCAGCATACAGTTTTCCAGAAATAACCTATATAATGTAATGGGACTCATAATGTTAGCTTGAGATTGTTATTCCACAAAATAACTTCACTCATAAAAGAGAAACAAATGAGCTCAAGACTTTTAGCAATAAACGCTAAATTGGACGTTCATACCTCAGGGGCAGCATAATTTGGGCTTCCGCAACTTGTCTTCAGAAAATGACCATCTCGCATTATATTGCTCAAGCCAAAATCAGCAATTTTTACATTCCACTTGGAATCCAAAAGCAAATTTTCGGGCTTAAGATCTCTATGAACCACCATGTTTTGGTGGCAGTACTCCACACCAGAAATTATCTACTCACAGACAAAGATTTGATTAAATGTAACCCAATTGGAGAGATAATAATAAACAGTAGAATCCAATATACAATAGTTGCCAATCCCCACCTGCTGAAAAAAAACTCGGGCTTCATCCTCCTGTAGCCTGCTCTTCTCAACAAGATAATCAAATAACTCTCCAGACTTCTCATACTCCATCACTACTTAAATATGACTTGGGGTCTCTATGACTTCATAAAGTCGACTGATGTGAGGATGCATAAACAACCTCAAAATTTTAATTTCTCTTCTCACTACAAAAGAAAAAAAAAAAGGTAAGAGACAATGTGTACACACTTCTATATAACACCATATCCAACTATGCCGTTCATGCAAATTACAAGAATTATTACCCATGAAGAAAAACAATAGAACTTTCTCCTCTTATTTAGTATGAGAAAATAATCATGAAAATTACATATTACAAGAGCTTATAATTCAATCTCTAAGCCTTAATTACATGATATCAAATTAAGCTGCATACATCACAAAAAAGGAAAACAGAGAAATAATTCTGATCATGGAAAATAAACCAAATTAACAAAGTATAGAAGTATAGAAGTATCTTTTTATACCAGACAAGATCATAATCCAAGGACATAAACCATACCTTTCTCTTCCATTTCCATATTTTTGATCTTGCAACGATTAAGTATCTTGATAGCAACTTTATGGCCAGTCAATGCATGCTCCGCAATTTTCACCTTACCAAAGGATCCAATTCCTAGAGTTTTACCAAGCTTATAATTTGGTAAAAACATATCCACACCACTGCCACCTCGACTAGATCCATCCATGTTCCTACTCAGAAAACAAGATTGAGAGATGAGAATACAAACATGGCAATAATTAGAGTTCCTCACAAACATTCGTGCTAACAAAAGCAAAGAAATCAAACACATCTCTCAAAACCCATTCAATTTTCAGTCACAACTGAACTTAATAACATCTGCGCTGATCTACTCCCAATCTTCCAATTGTACACATGGCAATGATAGAGTTCCTCACAAACATTCGTGTTGAGCAAAACCCAAGAAGCCAAACACATTTTTCAAAACCTGATTCAATTTTCAGTCACAGAAATAATTAACTTCTAAGCTGATGTGCTCACAATCTTCGGTAGAAAAACTTCATATTTCCCCAGAAAACAACCCAATTTCACCTCTTATAACCAGATGGGTGCAGCTAAATATTCAACCACGTTGTTCTACCACCAAAAGCTAAACTTATTAAGTAAAACCCCAATACCATTACAAGAATCAACAAAGTCCACTAAACTGAACTATCAGATCACTAACCCATTACATCGGATCAACACATTTCTTTAACCCATTACATCGGATCAACGCCTCAGTATAAAAACATGAACAATATCTAACAAAATTCACTAACACAAAACATAAACTCCTGTTTTTGCTCTGTAACTAGTTTGATAACATTACCAGGTCAGTACCACAGTGCTTTTTCAGAAAACGAATATTTTAAACCATAAAATTTCCCGTACAACTATAATAAACCCTAATAAACAACTAACCCCAGATTCATCAATCCCACAAAGACCACAAAAGTAAACATCTTTCGCCACAAATCTAGTCAAACGAAGCTTCAATTACAGCATACCAACTCAATTTCATCAAAACCCCCCCACAAAAAAAAAATTCAACAAAACCCTAGCTTAAACAACAGATCTCAAGCCCAACCCAAGCGACATCGAATCAAACCTACAAAATGACAAACACAACAACATTCACATTCACATCAAATCAAACAGAGAAGAACTTACAGAGCGGGAATCCGAGCGAAATCGAGCTTCTAAACTTCAAATTAAAGCTTGAAAAATAGGAAAATAAAATTAAAACGATTCAATTACAAAACACTGCAGTCGAAGATTTTTTTTTTTTTTTCTTTTGGGGATTTAGAGTGAATTAAATTATGCAATTGTTAATTACTGCCATGATAGTAATAGCAATAATAATCGCAACAGAGATTTAAGGGAAAAAAATATTTTTGTTTAGTTTTCAACTGAATACATAAAAATATATCCTCCTTTTTGTCTGTGGGAGTTACAGAGAGAGAGAGAGAGAGGACGCTTAAAACGAACGAAAATTTATCGTTTTTTATTTATGTGTTTAAAACATGATGACAAAATAACTTTTTTGCCCTTTCATTTTGATGTATTGACAGGACCATCCTGCTTGGATTTCCAGTTTTGTTTGATTATCAGGATTCGGATTGTGAGAGCTCAAAAAAATTTGTAATGATAAAAGTGCTTTAATTTATGTTCGCTGAGACTTGAGATTTTATTACAAGATTTAGTAGATACAAAATTGGTTGTCAAATACTGGGTATAAGATTTGCAATTAATAAAATCCATTTTTTAAAAGTATTAATCTCGGATGGGAATTATACTGAAATACTATATTCCAGATCAATAAGATAATATTTAAGTATAATTATGACATAATTAATATTAGGATGTTTGTGACTAAACTAGACTTCTAACCTAAGGACTAGTACGATTGTTATATGTATGATGAGATCACTATTTAAATATAATTATGACATAATTAACATTAAGACGTTGTGATCACACTAGTCTAGACTTTCGACCTGAATGACTAATATGATAAGTAATGCTAGATCTACAACCTAATTTCACAACCTTCTCTCATAACTTCCGACATAGCAACTCGTCATTGATTAGTTCCAAATGGACAGGTAGAACCTATATAAGCAAGCAAGACCCATTTTATGAGTTGACCAATGAGAAACTGACACGTTGAGGGTAGTAAGCTTGGATCGTAGACCTAACATTACTCTTAATATAATGGTTATATGTATGATTAGATCAATCCGATAATATTTAAATATAATTATGACATAATTAATATTAAGATGTTGTGACTAGACTAGACTAGACTTTCAACCAAAAGACTAGTATGATGAGTTTTGTTAGATCCATAACTCAATTTCACAACCTCCGACATGGTAACTCGTCATTCATTAGCTCGCATATAGACAAACAAGAACCATACAAGCAAGCGAAACTCATTTTATAAATTAATCAATAACAAATTGTCACGTCGAGGATTGTGGACTTAATATTATTCCTAATATGATGATTATATGTATGATCAAATCAATCCAACAATTATGACATAATTAATATTAAAGCGTCGAACTAGACTACACTTTCGACCTAGAGTACAAGTATGATAGTTAAATGTATGATGAATGAGAAAAATCAGAGAATGGATGGATGAATAAGAAAAATCAGAGAATGGATGGATGAACAAAGAATAATAGGACAATTTTGAATGAGTAACACTACACTCACTAACACTTCTCACTAACCATCTTATTAACCTTTGTTAAAATTACATATGGTACCCGTACTATGCGTATGATACCCGCACTATACTTTAGGTTAGTATGCTGGTTAGTAAAATTCGTTAGTGATTGTAGTGTTTTTTATTTTGAATCGCGGTGATGCGATGATGTTGATGAGTCAGAAATGTGTTGTCATTCCTATTTATTACATTTGTAGACTTAACATTCTGCGTTCAAGACATAATCGAGGCAAAGCACGCAAAAGAGTTGTAACTAAGAAAAGTCTAGTACAATTTGAAGAGTTCCAACGCTTCAATTATAATGCTTTATATGGCATTCGGTAACCTTGAATAAGTGTATTGGATTGAGGAAGTTAATTTCTGCAAAGCGCTTTTCTTCCAAAAAGACAAGTGCATCATACAACAGTGCATGTTGGAAAAGACACTGAAACATAATTAGGGATCCAGAACTGGGCAATTTTGTTGGTTTAATTCTTCAAAGAACTATACTATCCATAATAAGCCTCTGATCTTTTTTTTTTTGGGCAAATTTTTAGAGTTTCCTATTCTACCAGAACACTAGATGGTTGAAAAAAAAATGTAAACCTTTTTCACTATACACCTCTCTACATCTATACACACCCTTTTCAGTAAGAGTAATGCTATGCTTACTCACGATCTTACTAACCATCTTACTATTCTTTGTAAATATAACGCATAGTACGGATACTATATGTAATTTTAACAAAGATAGTAAAGCAGTTAGTAAACTCGTGAGTAAGTATAGCATTATTGTTTCACTAAACTGTTTTGCTAAACATTACAAGAATGCCGAATGAGGCCTATACCAGAAACCAAACTATTCCAAATGGGGCACAAATCAATCAATATAGATGCATAAAAGCTATCTAGCCTTCCACATCAATTAACAGACACATATCAAGAGAGCATTAAATAACAATTTCATATAAATGGTCTGACATCCATGAGCTGCAACTGAAGACAGGCCAATTGATCTTCAGCCTACAGGTTTACAACTAAATATAAATAATAAAACTATCATATATATTCAGAGCCCTTTAAGATTCTTTGCTTCTTTAATCATATGTCTGATTCCATTCGCAGCTAAACATGTTCGACATACACAAAAAGAAAATTAGACATCAAGTCCAAGAGGCAAATATAGCAAAAATTAAAAAATTAGGCACATTTACCTGGGAGGAATGTAAGAATTCCAAGGACTAAAAGGCCATAAGCTTGGGCCGTCTCTCCCCCCATGTGACCAGTGAAAATGAACACAGAAAGAAAAAGAAGCACTGATCCTAGACAAAGCAAGAAAAATGCGAGTGCAATTGACTTCCATAGGATCCTATCAAAGGCTTTTGGCGAATAATCAAATCTAGGATCATATCACTGCCTCCTATCACCATCATAAACATCATCATAATCATCGGTAGCAAGTTTTTCATAACGACCATTGCGCTTAGATGCCACATCAACTAAAACCAACTCTTAATAATTATCCCCAGGGAATCACACACCAAATAGCTGAAGCCTTCAATCCAAAATCAAACAAACAAACAAATTTGTTCAGAACTCAAATCAAATTCGAAAATTCACAAAAGCAAAATACAAACAAACATAGTAAGTCAAATAAAAATATAAAACATAATAAAGCAAACAACAAAGAAAGACCTAAGAAGGAAGAAGGGAACCCAATTATTCTCCTATTGTTTCTGAAATCTACACAACAGGGTATTCTTGTTACTGACTGACTTCAATCAATGGGATACAATCTCTTAAGACTAGTTAATAACTTGATCTAGATCTTTTTCTTTTCAGCTTTATATGTTATACAAAGTGGACTAGCATCACGGAAAATAGGATCCCTTTTTACTTATGATTGAACATCCCCACAGAAGGAATCAAGAGTGAGAGTAGATAAGAGTTAGTGAGCAATGGAAGATATCAATTCGAATATCTATATTGGGAGGATGAAACAAAGAATAATAGGACAATTTCGAATGGCGGTGATGAGATGATATGATGAGTCAGAAAGTGTTGTCATTCTATTATTATATTAAATTAATAGAATATTTATATTTGGCAATAGAAGAGGCCAAGTGGGTTCAAATGTTAAGCTCAGTCTCAAGGCTGACAACATCAAGATACCGAGCTTTTAGCACGTCTCTGCCTGTTGTCTGCATAGCAAATTGACTCACAGATACTCTCTTCTACAAGTTTCGCACATTTTGGACCGTATCTGTAATAGTACTAGTAGAGTGTTAGACTTAAGAAAATTACATATCTGGGTCCCTAGGTTTTCATACTGGGGCCCATATATGAAAACGGGTCGGGTTGGTTGGACCCATGTTAAAAGAGTAGAATTGCAGTACATGAACAAATTACAGAGTCTGATGTTCCACTATACTTAACGAGGTTTTTAAGCCTGGAGTGAAAAATGCATACATTTATCTTGTGAAATAATATACTCAAACCCAAAAGTAGTAGCTCGTGAAAATTTAACAACGATACAAAGGCAGGCGTGTGCTCAGTAATCAGGGATGGCGGAGAAGCGAAATCCTTGAATGCCCTCCATGAGTAATATGCTATCCGGGTCTCATAAAAGCCTACAGGCAGAAGAAGATGATCTCACACCGATCAGTTTATCAGGTTCATAGCATTTAGAAAAGTAATGATAGAACAAAGTAATTGGCAGATGAATAAAAAGACATTCTGATTTACTACTGAACATAGCTCAAACTGTAGAAATTAACCTAAGGTCAAGACATCTTTATATGGAATTCTCACAAAAAAAGGCTATTAAAAGAGGGCTCCTGTACAGGTTTGTTTGGGACTATGGCATGGAACCGTAATTAGTCCAAAGGTAATACAAGCTCATGCAGAACATATTCCGAGCTATTATTCTATGCAGTACAAGATTTACGATTCCAGAACAAGAAAGGACAAATTAATTCAACCCTCAGAACCTAGGGTTCACTTTGGTAAGAAGTAATTGACAATCAAAGCAGAGTGAGCATATTTTATTTAACCAGGAAGATTGATGGTTCAAATTTCTTTGTTACAGCATTTTAAAGCAAAAGTTCGAGGAAAACTTCTGTCAGACAAAAATGATAGAACTTCATGGCTTCAGACTGTGCCCAATGGTGTGCAGTTGAAATAACTGAAACCAAATGAAAGGTACTCACAATGTATAAATAAAAACAGCTATTTTGCTTCAATGCAAGTCCTGTAAATTAATCTCCAAAAAAAGAGTAAAACATGCACTTTTACCGAAAGTAATCTCTATAATTGACAAATTCTGGTTCAAGACATAATCGAGGCAAAGCACGCAAAAGAGTTGTAACTAAGAAAAGTCTCGTACAATTGAAGAGTCCCAAATCTAAATTATATGCTTTATATGGCATTCGGTAACCTTGAATAAGTGTATTGGATTGAGGAAGTTAATTTCTGTAAACCGCTTTTCTTCCACAAAAGAGAGTGCAGCATACAACAGTGCGTGTTGGAAAAGATACTGAAACATAATTAGGGATCCAGAACTGGCCATTTTTTTTTTTTTTTATGGCAAATTTTAGAGTTCCTATTCTACAGAACACTAGATGGTTGAAAAAAAAAAATGTAACCTTTTTCAATATATACCTCTCTACATCTATACACAACCCTTTTCACTAAACTGTTTGTAAACGTTACAAGAATGAAATGACGCCTACACAGAAAACAAACTATTCAAATGGGGCACAAATCAATCAATATAGACGCATAAAAACTATCTAGCCCCACATCAATTAACAGACACATATCAAGAGAGTATTAAATAAAAATTTCTATAATGGTCTGACATCCATGGGCTGCAACTGAAGACAGGCAAATGATCTTCAGCCTACACGTTTACAACTAAATATAAATAATAAAATTATCATATACATTCAGAGCCCTAAGATTCTTTGCTTCTTTAATCATATGCCGATTCCATTGCAGTAAACATGTCAACATAAGTTAGATAGTATGTTGCAAAAGAAAATTAGACATCAAGTCCAAGAGGCAATATAGCAAAAATTAAAAATTAGGCACATTACCTGGGAGGAATGTAAGAATTCCAGGACTAAAAGGCCATAAGCTTGGGCCTTCTTCCCCCCATGTGACCAGTGAAAATAAACACAGGAGAAAAAGAAGCAGTGATCTCGACAAAGCAAGAAAATGCGAGTGCAATTGACTTCCATGGATCCTATCAAAGGCTTTTGGCGAATAATCAAATAGGATCATAACGCTGCCTCCTATCACCATCATAAAAATCATCATAATCATCGGTAGCAAGTTTTTCATAACAAACATTGCGCTTAGATGCCATATCAACTAAACCCAACTCTTAATAATTATCCCAGGGAATCACACACCAAATACCTGAAGCCTTCAATCCAAAATCAAACAAACAAACAAATTTCTTCAGAACTCAAATCAAATTCGAAAATTCACAAAAGCAAAATACAAACAAACATAATAAGTCAAATAAAATATAAAACATAATAAAGCAACAACAAGAAAGACCTAAGAAGAAGAAGGGAACCCAATTATTCTCCTATTGTTTCTGAAATCTACACACAGGGTATTCTTGTTACTGACTGACTTCAATCAATGGGATACAACTCTTAAGACTAGTTAAAACTTGATCAGATCTTTTTCTTTTCAGCTTTATATGTTATACAAAGGGACTAGCATCACGGAAAATAGGATCCCTTTTTACTTATGATGAACATCCCACAGAAGAAATCAAGAGTGAGAGTAGATAAGAGTTAGTGAGCAATGGAAGATATCAATTCGAATATCTATATTGGAAATCTATGTCTGTCTATCTGCCTTTGCTCTCAAGAAGAGAGAGCGGCCACAATGTAAATACCAGAATTTGGGGGAGAAAAGAGTTCATCTCAGGCGTAATGGTGTCAAAGTGTAAATCTATACGGTATGGTATAGAACGAGTGTAAGATCATAGAGATTAGTCATTCTTCAAATAAATTATTCGCTTATATTACAATAATTCAGTTGCTTGGCATCCATTTCAAAGTATTTCAATAAAAGCATTTTCCATATTCTCACCCTTATTTTAAGTAATCTACAATGAGAATATTCAAATATATTTACAGTTTGAGTTTCCACTAAACAAAGAAATTTTTTGCTATGAACAATCAAATGCAATTAAAAACAAAATTAAACATAAAATATAGATTTATGCCAATAGGAGTTGCTGGCACAGTGGCACTCTAGCTTATAAGTAAGTAAAATTTATATTTTACAGAAAACTGCTTTTCTACAGTTGTCAAACACGCCATAAGCCAGAATTTGATGAAACTATAAATGAAGAACAATAATAGCAATAGCACGAAAGAGAACAGATTAAAAGATAAAATATGGATGAGAAAAGTATAATGAAAGATAATCGAAGCATGGCCAGACTCACCGGAACGTCGTGGTGTCGGTGGAGGTGTGGCTTTGGCTTGCGCGGACAGAGGAGAGACAGCCGAAGTTTGAAGTAAGAATTTTATGAGTCAAAGACGGGCTATTTGTAGGATGATTTTGAAAAAAACCATATTTTGAATGACTAATGCCCTTCCTTATAAAGAATAAAAATGACCTAACCGTTGGCTTCAACAAACGATTCCGTGGGTTATTGGGTAAGTACTGTTACTGGTGTTTTAAATAATATAAATAATTTTTCACTTATATATTCATAAATCTCTTATATATATAAATTAAATCGCAATGGACAATATTGTGTTGGGTAAAGGTGGTAATGCTAAATGAATTTTACGCAAGGCATAAAGGGGGAGGTTATAAGCATGTTTTAAAACTCGACAGTTTGACTCTTTAACCAAGACTCGGGGCCTTCTCCCAGCAAGTCACCCTTGTTCACTATTTTAAAATCCAATATTCATGAGAAGCAAACCCTAGAGAAGACAACAATAATTCGTGAGTAGACGATAGCGAGGCTGTTGGGAGGTTTTACAAGAAAGAAAATGTTAGTGAGTTGAAAGGTGGTGATGAAGGTGATTTCTGGTGAGTGAAACATCGAAAAGGCAAAAGAGTAGCCATAACGTGGGTTGTTGCCAGCGATTGGTCGGGCAAATAGGGGGGGAGGGGTTGATATGGGTGTTTGGTCAGGAGATTGAGGAAGAGTATTTTAGTTGTGATGAGAGCGGTTGTCGATGTCAAAAACAGGACTTTGGCCTGGGTTGGCGATGATGATGGTGGTTTTTTTTGCAAAAAATGTTCAATTTCAGCCAATGTTAGGCATATTTGCTAGAGAATAGTTTCTAATGATGAGTGAGATTTGTAATTAGTGTATTGTCGTACCCACCAGTTGATCGTCGATTTGCATTTGGCTAGATCATAGGGGGTGTTTGTAAGATTTCAAACCTCGAGATATGCTGATATCAACGGTGACTCGAGACCAGCCACTTTGTCGAGTTCATCTCGAGTTGGTTATTAAAACATTGGTTATAAGTGTCTATATCCTAAATTAATTTTGACAAAATAAAAAAA